GTAGCTGAGCAAACTCGTGGCCAACTGGATGTTGGAGCCAAGACTACTGTATTTTCATTTCCAAAGAAAAATGGTTCCAACCGATCACACTACCCAGAAACAAGCTTCTCAAAAACAGAAGGGTTTTGTTTCATTAAATCTTGGTGATACTCATTCTTGAAAACTGAAATAGAAGTATTTCTAATTTTCTGCTTGACACTTTTCTTGAGAGATGAACGGGACCCACGGCTGGATGGCATGCCAAGCCCAGCTCTTCAAAGGAACTCTAACCAAAGGGGAGCCCATGGTTCACATAGCCATCCTGCATTTCCCCTGCACTGACTCCAGGTGACCCACCCATTTGGAGAGACGCTGTGCTGGCTGGTCTAAAATGGGCAGATATGCCCAGGTGGCGTGTGCAGTGCTTAAGAGACCCATGGAAGAAAAAGAAAACTCCCTCCCACCTGTGTGTGGCAAAGGCATTTTTATGTCATAAGTTGGGAAAGTGAGGTGGGGAATGAGAGAGAAAGAGAGCTGGGACAAACAGTACGCTGAGTCCAAGATTTGGAGCATTAAACACAATGCTCAAAGCGTACAAAACATTTTATCTTTTTACAAAATAACCTCATGGAGAGGATATGAAAATCCCTGTGATGGTTAGTTTTACATGTCAACTTGACTGGGCTAAGGGATGCCCAGATAGCTGGCAAGATATTATTTCTGGATGTGACTGTGAGGGTGTTTCCGGGAAACACTAGCATTTGAATCAGTAGACTGAGTAAAGATCACCCTCACCAATGCAAATGGGCATCGTCCAATCCACTGAAGACCCACATAGAAAAAAAATGCAGAGGAAGGACGAATTTGCTCTCTGCTTCAGCTGGAGCATTTATCTTCTCGGCACTTCTGGTTCTCAGGCCTTCGAACTCCGACTGGAACTACACCACCAGCTTTCCTGGGCTTCCAGCTTGCAGACTGCAAGATCCTGGGACTTCTGTCTCCATAATCATGTGAGCCAATCCCTCATAATACATCTTTTTCTTTCTTTCTTTTTTTTTTGTGAGGAAGATTGGCCGCTGCACTAACATCTGTTGCCAATCTTCCCCTTTTTGCTTGAGGAAAGTTGTCCCTGAGTTAACATCCGTGCCAATCTTCCTCTGTTTTATGTGGGATGCTGCCACAGCGTGGCTTGATGAGTGGTGCTAGGTCTACACACGGGATCCGAACCTGCAAACCTGGGGCTGCTGAAGTGGAGCACTCGAACTTAACCACTACACCAGCAGGCCAGCCCCATAAATCTTTTTCTATATATCTGTATCTATATGTCCAGTCAATTTCAACTCCTAGTGACCCTGTGTGCAGCAGAGCAGAACCCTGCTTGGTCTTTTTGCGCCATCCTCTCACCTTCTGGCACTATATCAGACAATGCACCACTACTATTCACAGGGTTTTCATGGCCAGTTCTTTTGGACGTTGGTGGCCAGGTCCTTCTTCCTAGTCTGTCTCAGTCTGGAAGCTCCGCTGAAACCTGTCCACCATGGTTGACCCTGCTGGTATTTGAAATACCAGTGGCATAGCTTTCAGCATCACAGCAACATCCAGCCACTGCAGTATGACCACCGACAGACGGGTGGTGTTGTTCCCTGAACGGGAAATGAACTCAGGCTGCAGCAGTGAGAGCGCGCCCATCTTAACCACTAGATACAACGGCTGCTATCTATATCTGTATCTACATCTATATCTCCTATTAGCTCTGTTTCTCTGGAGAACCCTGACTAAGACAATCCCCATATGAAAAATAAAGCCACTTAAAAACAGAGAGACTAGCTGGCCTCTGGTCAGCACACGACTGGAGAAGCAGGATTCAGACCTTCTGGCTCATTTCCAGGGCTCCTCCGATTACATATGGGAGGTGAGGAATGCTCCACCACAGCATCACCTGTGCATACAGAGTTCAGCACAGTTCTCATGGATGGACTCACTGGCTGACCACATACAGAGTGTTGTCTCTCGCAATGGGCTAGTTTATGCTGTGTGGACAAACGACCCCCAAATCTCAATGGCTTCAAACCACAAAGGTCTATCACGCCCATCACAGGTTGGCTGGACCTCCAAATCCAGGTCTCCTCACTCCAGAACTGACGGAGGAGCCGCCATCTTGAACACTGCCAGTTGCCTCACGCAACTCATTGGACGGAACTAGTCACAAGGGGCCACCCAACAAGAAGACCAGGAAGTGCTTCCCTTGGTAGGGGGAGGGGCTGGAAATATTGGCAACTGGCTGTATGGTCACCACAGTGGTTATTGTGCCAGAGGCTGTATTAAGCAGCTCACATTAGGCATACTTAGCATTTTTAATACTCAAGGTAATTACTGTTATTATCCCCATTTTGCAGGTGAGAAACTGAGTCTTAGAAAGTTAAGGACCTTGCACTAGGTCCTTATAGTAGAAGGTGACTGCCGATAGGAGACAATGTGGACTCTGCCAAACAGCATGCAGCCTGGGAGTGAGGGAAGACAGGGCGAAATGAGGCTGCTCCTCTCCCAGGACCACGGTGTCATGTGGGGAGCCTCCCACCTCCTGACCTGTGCTCAGCCCTCCAGATCCTGCCTCCACTATGGGCAGACACCAGAGGCTGAGGTTCCATTCTGGTTCTCAAAACAACGGATATGGAGGCTTCTGGAAATGGCAGGCCTGCCAAACCAGCAGCCAGGAATAGCCATGCATTCGTTCAGCAAGCATCTACTGAGTGTAACTCGAGTGGGTTCCAGGGAATTCAGACCTGCTCGGGGGTGTCTGATGAAACAGAATGATCCTTAGGCCAATGGAATTCAAGGTCACCAGTTGATTAGCATGGATCATTAAGGGAAAGGTGGTGGGCAGGAGTCCACACAGGAGACGGGTGAGGAAAGCAAAGGGGGTTCATAATGGCTAATGTTTCTTGAGAATATACTATGGGCCAGGCCCAGTCTAAGTCTTGTAATTACATGAATGAACTCACAAGTAACAACAAGTAACTTACTGTTTTACGAATGAGGGATCTGGGTGCAGAGTGGTCAATGACATGGCTAAGGTCCTCTGCTAGGTATCAGGGGTCTGTGATTGCCACAGTTTCTTGGATTCAGACCTGCAGTTTTTTTTCAGAATGGGATGCGAATTTCATTTCAGAATTAGGGCAGAGACTGCTAATTCCTATCCAATATCCATTTCCCTCACCTTTCTTAATGACAGACCCCACCTTGGTTTAAAGTAGGAACACAACCAGTTGAAACTACTCCCCAACTTCCCTTGGCAAACGAGGAAGTTCTAGGCAAAGAGACATAGGTGGAAATGTGGTGAAAGGGCGGGCGTGGCTCAGGTATCCCAGGAGATGCCTTCTCCCACTTTGACGGAACCATCACCACCCTGGCACCTCGAGGGCTGGCTGCCTTGGGACAAAGGACAGGGACCCCTAGCCTGAGGTCTGGTTTTCTCATGGTGAACCCTGTAGGGGTGGTTATGAGGCACCAACATAGTCAGCAGAAACCAAAAGAGACTCCATGTGGCACTACAGCCCACAGATGGGTGAGCATCTGCGACGCTGCCTGGGGACGCCCAGAGACACCTGGGGCAGGGCAGGACTTTCTAGGGGGCTGGTGGGAAACAGAATTGATATGACCTGGCCTAGTGTAAGGATGTTCTGGCTGCACAAGAAATCAATGAAATACTGTATATGAAGTCCTGGCACAGGGAAAGCACCAAAAGAAAAGTTATGACTGGTATCAACAAGACATGCTAATGACCAGAGGCACTAGGAGGGCAGTTCTCAGCCTTTCAGCTCTCCTCTCTAAGTGCCCTTTTCCTTTTCAGCCCCACTGATATGCCTACATGCACACACATGTACACATTTGTGCACACACACACACAAAATATAAGACCAAACAATCTCAGTTTGGGTAACAAAAGAAGCTTCTCCATCACTGCTCAGGAACTGAAGCATCTGTCTAGATTAGCCAGTTTTCAGCAGGAGTAATTTAAGTGACAAATTGAATACAATACTAGACAGAGTCTCAGCTTCAACGGAAAGAAGTATGCAGGTGCATATGGCTAGGAGACCAGTTTGCCTCAAAATAATAAGCCATATGACGTTCAGACAAAGATAGCCACTTACCGAAAACTCTCATAGCAGACTCAAGCTCAATAGCTTTTTTCAACATTAAAATTTTGATATATTTTGTTGATATATGTATGTAATTAAAAGGAAATTAAAATGAAAAATCATAATCTACAATGAGTTCTTAAAATCAAGTAGATAAACCAATAGAACATGGAAAAAAGACATTTTTTTAATCGCAGTAACATTGGTTTATAACATTATGTACATTTCAGGTGTACATCGTAATATATTTTGAGCTCTGTGTAGATTACACCCAATAGCTGTTGAATCTTTTTCATCCTTGTAGGATGGGCTTGCGTCTCATGCCTAGGCCACGTGAAAGTGAATTATTGCAATTACAATTCCTGGTAGGCTCCAGCAAAAACTGGCGCTCCTAGCCTGATTCTGCAGCATGAGAAGTCTTTCATTTTTTTCTGACAATAGTGAATATTGCCAGCAGTGCTTTATTTGGGGGCTCACAGTGCAGAGAAGGGGTGTAGCATGCACCCAGAATTTTAACAGCCACACCATGACCTTTTATCCCTGCACCTTCAAGACTTTTACTGTTCTAGGGAAAACGGGGAAATTGAGTGTGTCGCAAACCATGATAGGCCAAGCGGAAGACAAGCTGACATTACATCTAAGAACATCCGCCTTCCTTGCCCTGTTTGCTTCTCTGCATTATGTAAGTTAAGGGGCGGTGGGAATGATTTCAGTGCAGGAGAGAAAGAGTAAAAAGACTTATCTTTTTAAAAAAGAAAGTAAGAGAGAACATAGGAAACTTAAAAGAAAATTTCACAGGGCTCAGAATCTTCCAAGAGGCTGTGACTTAAAGATTTTTTAAATCCTTACACCTGAAATGCTCAGTACAAGTACACCCACAGAGTGGGTGCCCTGCTTCTAGGTCAGGGGTCTGTGATTGCCGCAGTTTCTTGGATTCAGACCTGCAGTTTTTTTCAGAATGGGGTGAGAATTTCATTTCAGAATTAGAGCAGAGACTGCTAATTCCTATCCAATATCCATTTCCCTCACCTTTCTTAATGACAGACCCCACCTTGGTTTAAAGTAGGAACACAACCAGTTGAAACTACTCCCCAACTTCCCTTGGCCAAATGATGAAGTTCTAGGTCAAAGAGACATAGGTGGAAATGTTGGTGGAAAACTTCGGGGAAAGCTCCTTCAAAGGAAATGCAAGCCCTTCTTCCTTTCTTCTTCCTTCCTGTTGCCTGAAATATGATGGCTGGAGCTCCAGCAGCCATACTGTTGCCAGGAGTCATAAGCTTGAGGTTATCTTACAAATGCAAGCCAGTGTAGTGGATCAGGGACATAGAAGAAGCTGGGTCCCAGATGACTTTGTGGAGCCAAGAGAGCAGCCCTGGACCAACTACCTCCAGAAGTCTTTCATACAAGAGAATAAACCCTGAGTGTTAAGCCATTGAAGTCAGGTCTCTGTTACTCACAGCCAAGTACAAGCATTAATTTATATAACCATTTTTATGCATGTTTATAGATTCATTTCTACTTGAGAAATGCCAGCTACAAGCTTTCGCTTGTGTGCAACCTTCCCTTCCCTTAGCCAGCAGGCATTTGCACAGATTCAAGCCTGACCAAGAAGCTTGTGCTCCACAGCATTTCTCAGGGGCTGGTGCTGGAAGTGCAGGAGGCCACTGGCCTTCTCCTACACCCACGCTTTGGTGGCATTGCAGAAGGCAGCCCAGTGCAACGTGATCACTTTGCAATGATTCCTATAGCCCGGCATGTGCAAAGTCTGGGGTATCCCATTGGCCAACCCACAATGAGAGATGCTCAATAAGCACAGAATGTCGGCCTCCCAGCCCTATGCAGACAACATAATGACGATGATGACAAAAAGAAGGCTTACATGCGCCAGGCATCATTCTAAATGCTTTATATGACTAATAAGCTTGTTTCTTTCAATCATCCTACGGTGGACACTGTAACTGCCTCTGTCTTACAAATGAGAAAAATGAAGCACAGAGAAGTTAAGTAACTTACCCCGGGTCACACAGAAATAAGTGAAGGACTGGGATTTGAACGCAGACAGCCTGGCTTCAGAGCCCATCCTCTTAGCCATTAAGTTAGCATCTGTATTGTCCCAACTAATACATCCATGTTAGCTATGGTGACAAACTGGCAAGCTTTCCGATCATTACGCTTAGCATTTCTGCTGAGCCGTCTTTGTTAAGATTTCCCATCATCAGATTTGCATCTATGGGTGTGAGTGGGTTTTCTGTCTGAATGCTGTCCTGACACACATTCCCAGACACCACTGGGGCCGGCTATTCCTTCCTCACCTGACTCTTCGATGTTTCCACCAGACCCACTGGCTTTACGATCAACCAACACTAAGATCCTTAAGACAACTGAGAGAAATGACTACAAAGGTCTATCATTCTAAATGTATTTCCTCTGCTAGGATTGGGGAACGAGCCCAAAATACCTGGAATCTTTAAGCAGAGGCAGCAATTCAGCCCCAGCTGTACAAGCTTCCTCTGAGGATGACCCCAGTTTGACCAAGCTCTTCCTGTACTTGTGGCTGAGCCCCGGGGCCTGAGTGGGGTCAGTGGGCAGTGCTGGGAGGAGGAAGGTCACCTGGGAAAATGAGGGGGCCTGGGCTTTCCTGCACATCCCAGAGATATAGGGACAGCCATGGCACCGCCGTGGGCCACCTCGCCTGAGTGACTCTCCTTGGGGTACACACAGACCTTGTTTCCACCCGCTTGTGGGTGGGGAGGGCATACTAAATTTGAAATCAATTTTCTTTGCAGAAATGCAAACTCTAGAGCAAAAGTGGGGGAAGACACAGCAATGTGTCTTTCATTCCAAGTATTTTCTGCTTCTCTCTCCCCACCCCCACCTCCCCCTCCCTGCTCCATTCTAAATTCGTGCCCTTAAGAGAAGGTTGTTATGTAGCAGAAATGAAGAGAGGAAAACTCACCTTTTTCAAAAGAGGCTTTTGAAGCTCACAGCAGAGACAGTAGCTGGCGAGAACAAGCTTTGACTCAAAAGCCTGATTGTTGAATCTCGAAAGACAAGTTCCTGACCAACTCGTGGAATAAATTTTTTACCACAAACAACAGACCCAGACAATTACAGGATGAGCTGAAGAGGTCGTTTTATCCTGCCCAGGAAGGAGAGAGATTCTGCTGACCTGAGAAAGGCGTAGGGGAGGGTGAGGGAAGAGAGCCCTGCCGTGAGTTGCTCCAGTGGGTTCTGTGAGGGGCCCGTGCCTCACCCACCCCGGACCCAAGCCAGCTGTGGGCAGGGAGACATCGACTCAGCAGATGCACCTGGGGCCCAACAGTAGGGAGGACCTGAGCTCGGCTTCCCATCGGAGGCCAGGACGGCAGCAGCTCTGCAGGTCTCCCAATGTCTCCAGGAAGAACCAGAGAGGAGAAATCGCCGTGGGGAGGGACCACAGGGGAAACCTATAGGGCCCAGGCCTCCAAGTGCCGCAGGGAACAGCTGACATTTTCTGTCAGGAGTGTGGAATACCTACACGCCTGCAGGCTCCCGAAGATGCAGAAGTTTGCTGAGCAAGGGGGCCTCCTCACCTTGGGATGAGGGAATGTGGCAGCAGATGGCAGCACAGACTGAAGGGTCCAAAAACAGAGGGGAACACAGGCATCCCAGAGGATGCCAACAATGGAGGACGTCAGTGTCTGTGGACCATCTGGAGCTGTGACCACCTCAGTGGAAGACAGAAGGGACAGACGACAACCAAGGACACCCAGCATCAAGGCCCTCAGATCTAAGCTCAACCCAATGGCGACACAGGCAGGACACAAATCCTCACTCGACTGAAAAAAATCCTGAATTGACTGAAAATAAACTGAACTGATGGAGCTAACCTGAATTAACCTGGTTTCTGCCGTCAGTTCGACTGTAGGCTCAAAAGAGAGATGAAATTGAATTATAGAATAATAAAGGTCCATTTCTTAGGCCCCTGAAAAATGTGACTGAAATTTATGCCTAATACAGGTCTCCTTGCAGTCAGCCACAGACAGATCCCTAGATAGAGTTAACAGATTTAGCAAATAAAAATACAGAGAATCTAGTTAAATCTGAATTTCAGATAAACAACACATTAGTATAAGTATGTCCCATGCAATATTTGGGATATACTTATACTGAAAGACCCTTTGTTGTTTATCTGAAATTCAAATTTAACTGGGTATCCTATATGTTCCCTGACAATCCTATCCCTGGACCCTCCTCGCCTGGGTGGGGGTCCACCATACATCTTTCTCCCCTGGATTCCCACCAAGTTGTCAATACCAGCCAAGGCCTACCTTCTTCTGAAGTTGCAGTGTCTGAATTTGCCTTTTTTGTTTAAAAGTCCAACTGTAGTCTTCAATCCAGCGTTTCAGAATTAATTCTCAGAGCTCCTCAAACGAGATCACGTCCAAGTCCTCCTTCAGACATGAAGCTCATTTCGGTAGCGTCTGCGTTCTTTCACTTCATTTGCTGGCATTGTGAGCTATAAAGGATTCAGGTTCATTTTTTGCCTCAGCGTTTGCTCTGTGGGAAGGGGTCTTTGTTGGGAATGGAGAGATGATGTCTAAAGATGTTTAGTTTTGCTTCTTCATCTCCTGTGCCAATGAGTTCCACTGTCCTCACACCTGGTGGGCCCACAGCAACATGTAGGACAGGCTGGAGGAGACGGGGCTCGTGACAAATTTGCAATGAGGAGACAGCGAGCATGGCAGCCAAGAAAAATCTTCTGCCTGAGGGAGAGAGTCAAAGACATTTGAAAACTTTAAAGACTTTAAAACCACTTTGCTGATGGTTTTTAAACTTAGAGTAGGGGGAGTAGGGAGTAAGTATAGGGTAAGGGTTGGGGTTATGGTTATTAATAGAAACGTGGACGGTAAGCAATATGGTGATAAGAAAATACCAATTCACACTTCATAGAACTGTATTTGGCTGACTCACTGATCTGCTATGAACTTGATAGTACAAATGTGGACTCTGAAAAGAGGTTCCTACAAGCAAGTAATTTAACAAAATCGCAGACTTCTAAAGAACGACCTACAGCGATGGCTGAAGGAAACCTGAGAGAGTGCAAAGTGAACCATTCGACTGCAAAGGGAAACAGTGATTTATGATGAACTGTGGCTTTGTGCAACAATACTGTCACAAGAGAAACACTTTTATTTTTGAATAAAAGAAACATCTAAGAAGATCTTTCTAGATTCCTTTAACAGACTTTCCCACCCCTCTTTGCCTAATAATAGCAACTATCACATACTGACTGCTTACTCTGAGCCAGACACTGTGTTGAGTATGTCTTCAGGTACTCACTGTATTAGTTATAGTTTTTTATTATCTGTATCTTACAATTTTGGGGGGGTTTGTGTTTTGTTTTTTTGCTTGAGAAAGATTGTCTCTGAGCTAACATCTGTGGCCATCTTCCTCTATTTTGTATGTAGGACACTGACACAGCATGGCTTGATGAGCTGTGTGTAGGTCCACACCTGGCATCCGAACTCGCAAACCCCAGGCCACCGAAGTGGAGCGGGCGAACCCAACCACTACACTACTGGGCCCACCCCATCTTCCGATGTTTTGACATCTCTCAGGGGCCTTACAGATCTGTGGAGAGACTGCACCTCCCTAGGCCAGCTAATTCCTGGGGTGGTGGACAGCTTACCTGGAATGTGCCTTTTACACACAGACCTGCCAATCCCAGACCATGCCCCCACCCACTTCCTCACCTAACTCTCACCAAGCCAGTATTTCCCCTGCCCCAAATCATCCCAGGGCCAGGGACCAGACCACTGGGGATAGTTGTCTATCCCCCTATATCCCCAGAGCCTGCCAGAATTATTCAACCTAGCCGATCCTAAGCTGCTTCCTCAGCCCTGCCCTGCCTTCTCCCTGGAAACCCCAGGGAAGGATCTGGCCTCCACTTTCCCCTGGCTCCTGTCTTCTGCCTCCTGACCATCCTGATACTTCCCCTGGGGCCCTGTGTGGCGTGCTGTGTCTCCTCTCAGGAAATATAAGTAATGAATCCTTCTTTCAATGGCCTTGGCTTCCCCATGCCATCACTTAGTCATCTCTCTATAAATTAAATCCCGGGTATAATTTTAACCCACTAACTCATTCTGTCCTCCCAAGAACACTCTAGAAAGGCAGAGGAGGAAATTGAAGCACAGCGGGGCTAAAGGTCTTTTCTAATTCATTCTGATGGTCAGCAGCAGAGCTGGCATTCACACCCAGAGGCCAGCTCCAGAGGCAGGCTCCTAACCACTGCACCAGACAGCCTCGGTAACTGCCTGGACATCCCTGCTCCTGCAGAGCTCTGCTGCAACCCGTCTTCCAGGAGGCCTTCTCCAAAGGTCAAGTCCCTCCGTTAGAGGCTCTCATGATACAACATACTGATCCTTGACAGCACTTGTCACAGTTCCAATTTTATACTTATTCGTGTGGTGATATCATTAACAGCTGCCATTCCCTACTAGAATGAAAGCTTTATTTCTTTGCAGGGACCAAATCTGTCTCTGCTCACAGTGCTTTTCCCATAGTAAGTGCTCAACAATTATTTGTTGAATGCATGGTGGTTGCCATGGATTAAATTAAAAAGCAGCTTACAAAACAATATGATGTGTAACTTCATCTGCACCAACATCTCTGTGTATATAGACATCCACAGGGAAAAGAAGGCCACGCACCGAAATGTTTAACACGGGTGAGACTGTGGCATAGTTACTTTTCTATCTTCTCTTCTTCATCATATTTTCTATGAGAAACATAGATTACTTACATCAATTGCTGATTAGATATATTTTTAAGTTTTAGAGCAAATGCTTCACAAAATAATGACTGATACTAAGAAATATTAGAGATTCCATTGATCCAATATCACTTCGAACAGGAGAAAAACTAAAGATAGCAACCAGACAATGGGATTTGATTTGTGCAAAATCAGTGTGGATGAGGCGGATCAAAGCATACAACACAGAGCAGGACCACGCATGGGTAAAGGCCACAGTGTCTAGAACAAGACTGCCCATGTCTGAATTCCGAGTCCACCACTACCTTAGGACCTTCGACAAGCCATCTAACACCTCCACGCTCAGTCCCTTCTGTGTAAACAGGAATGATGATCACAGTCTCTCTTCCATAAGGTTATTGTGAGAATTAAATGCCTTAATATTTCTAGAATTCCTAGAATGGTGCCTGGCCATTGTAAGTGCTACATAAGCATTCGTTCAATAAAATATATCGCAGCAATTATAAGCAATGCTGGCGATAACTATAGATATGCGATGCAATGGAAAGGTGTTACATAATTCTAAATTATGCAGTTTTCTTTTTATAAAATAGATATTATTTTAAAAGAGATTCACTTCTATTCTGAAATCTCATGAATGCCAATCACGTCTTCGATTCCATCTAGTACAAGGATATATGGCTTTAAACTGATAGAAGCAATGAACACTTCTACAAGAAGTGAAAAGACCAGGACATTTGAGTCTTCATAAGAATATCAGTTTCAAGCTGAATACCGACAGCATAGAAATTTGCTCAAATTAGGTGACAATGTTTCCATCATTGCTATAATATGCTAATGGGATGAGGAGGCAGAAAGGGTTGGGAACAGTGAGTGCTACTCACAGCTGTACAGCTGATATATATATGTATATGTGTGATTAGCAGCCTCAAAATGTTCAACCCAAAAGGGATAATGAAATTTACGACCAGATGTCTCCTATACATTTTCAGGATTTTATTTAAAAAATATTTTGTAAGATTCAAAGCATTACTCTCATTTTCCAAAATGCAAAAATAGATCATGTTACAAAGAGTTGGATGGGAAGAAAGAGAAGTTAGGCTACATGCTCTGTGAATTTCAGCGGCCCCTTAACATCAGGTGCCTGTTTAGGGGTCACGGCCACCACCCTGAGTGGTCCAGCAGTGCACACAGACACAGCATCTCCCACCCACTGCCTAGTCTCTTTGGTCCTAGCCAATATTAAACCTAACATAACCAATCTTAAATTACTCTACCCACAGTATTGGACCCCAGACCTTGGATTCTAGAAATTACCAGGGAGAATTAAGTTATGAACCAGAAAAGGGTAAAGGAAGTAATTTGAAAGGACTAACTTTGAAATTGTGATTAAAAGACTTAGTAGTGGCAACCCAAAATTGTAATCAACTGCCTAATATTCTAAGAGCATTTTACCACACACAACTTCTGTCTTGCTTTTGTTTTTCACAAGCAATATATTCCAGAGAAATTAAGGCATATTAGAATCTTGAATATCAACTTATGCAAAGAAGCTGTATTGGATTAAGTCTCTCAGATGCATTACGATTCTGTTAGAGTCACTGAGAATAATTATGTTTAACAAATATTTATCGGTTGCCTATTACGTGCAAGGTTCTGTGTTAGATGCCCGGGAGATAGAGGAGATAAAATGATCCATATTATAAAGTCAAGGATTAAGGGGAGTGGAAATGGATTCTGTACACAAATAACCACATTTCACGGCAAAAAAGAGTCTGAAGGCTACGGGAGTTTGATGCGGAACCATCACAAGGAAGAAAAGCTCCGTGCAGAAGACATTTGAGATGAGCCGTGGCGAAGGCACAGGTGGAGTTGAGGGCAAGGGCATATCAAGCCAGACGAGGCACAGGGAAGGGCCCAGAAGTGGGAAAGCACATGAACATTCGAGAAACAGGCAGTTGCTTAGAGCGGTGGAGCTCAGCAGGTGTTCCAGGGATTCTGGACATCCCACAACACAGGACAGTCACACACAATGAAGCCCTGGCCCGGGGTCTGCCTGACTTCCACATCTTCTGTCAGATGGTCACATAAGCGGGGAAACTTTATAATTACCCAGCCTAGAAACCAACTGCATTCTACATGTAAACACAAAGTGTTTTTTGCACGGGTTTGAGATACATTGAATTTTCTAGGATGCAACTGCCATATAAACTGATAGAAGATTAGATCTTGCTTTGTCTGAAATGATAACAAGATTTGTTCAGAAATTTCAGAAGATCACGACCCTGATAGCAATACTGCTCATGATGTTTGAGCCTTGAATACAACACACCCGTTTCGGTCTACCTGTATAGCTATTCCTTTCGTGGTCGTTTTCCATATAGAGGTAGGCACCTCCCACTCCATGGTGTCTCCCATGGGAATCATGTCTGAGCAGATCCATGTGGAAATACTTATTATTTTATAATAAATTACTTTCTCTACATCTTTTATATGACAGTAGGGGGTTGTATCGATTTTTTTATTGAGGTATAATTGACATCTCACATTATATTACTTTCAAGTGTACAACATAATGATTGGATATTTGTGTACACTGCAAAATGATCACAATAAGTCTAGCTACCATCCATCATCATACATAGCACAAAATTTCTTTTTCTTGTGATAAGAACTTTTAAGATCTCCTCTCTTAGCAACTTTCAAATATAGGATCCAGTATTCTTAACTGTAGTCACCATGCTGTACATTACATCCCCAGGACTTATTTATTTTATAACTAAGTGTATTGATTTTTAAAGATATTGTTATATCAGAAAATGACCATAAAATCAAGGACTTAAAAGTTATATATGAATATGGGACATAAAGGAGGAGATGGTAGCAAAAAAGATAACATTTGAGCTTGTGTCACACAGTGAAAAGTATTTTTCAAGAATGGGAAGAGAGGGGGCCAGCTCCGTGGCCGAGTGGTTAAGTTCGCGCGCTCTGCTGCGGCGGCCCAGGGTTTGGATCCTGGGCGCGGACATGGCACCGCTCGTCAGGCCACGTTGAGGCAGCGTCCCACATCCCACAACTAGAAGGACCTGCAACTAAGATATACAACTGTGTACAGGGGGGCTTGGGGAGATAAAGCAGAAAAAAAAAAAAAAAAGGTTGGCAACAGTTGTTAGCCCAGGTGCCAATCCTTAAAAAAAAGAATGGGAAGAGAGAAATTAATCTTAATGCTCTATCTGTGGAAGGTTATTTAAAAAAAAATCTTTAAAATATGGGTAATTTTGAGATTTCAGACCTTAAATGACAGAATTTCAGAGCATCAAGTGTTCTTAGAGATCAAGTCTAGTCCAAACCCCTTACTGGCACATGAGGAATCTGAGGACTAGAGAGATGATGGGACCTGAGCACAGAGATCATCAGGAACTCTTAAAATATACTTATTTTTCTAACAGTTTTTCTTCAAACAACAACTAATCATTTCAAGAATACTACTTTTTCTTTTAAGATTGGCCCTAAGCTAACATCTGTTGCCAACCTTTTTGTTTTTCTTCTTCTTCTCCCCAAAGCCCTCCAGTACGTAGTTGTACATTCTACTTGTAGGTCCTTCTAGTCCTGCTCTGTGGGACACTGCCTCAGCATGGCCTGATGTGCAGTGCTAGGTCTGTGCCCAGGATCCGAACCGGCAAAACCCTGGGCCGCTGAACCAGAGCACATGAACTTAACCACTCGGCCACAGGGCCGGCTCCTAAAGAATATTATTTTTGAGTTTTCAAGCTGTGTGGGTCACTATTTCTTGGCATATATGGTTCATTAGGAGTCACATATGGGAGGCATGGGTTGTTCACCTCTTTCACAAAGCCGGTATCGAGGTTAAATGACAAAATGGAGGCGAATGAACCTCCAAAAATACACACAGCCTGGCAATCATAAAGCACAATATCACTAATAATAATCATTAAAAAACAATCCTAGGCAAAAAAATGCTCAAAGATGATGCTTATGGATTTATCTCTTTGTATACAAAGGAAAGCAGATGTTCAGGGTTTTTAAAATCACATTTTGGGTGATTAGAATTATTTTTCCTCAACATGATGTTGAAGATAAAGTGAGCATTACTAGTATTGGAAAATGATCCTAAACAGTTCTCTTTACTCTGGCAAGACCAAACTGTCACTCCTAAAGGACGGTGGCCCATTTGCCCAATTTAAATGATCACATCTCAAGTGTTTAAACACCCTATTGGGATAGGAAAACTTATGGGCAGAGAAAAAAATTAATTGATATAATTCTATGATACTTTGTAACAAAATGACTTAGTGATTAACTTTTTCACTTGTTTGGCAGTATTGTCTCTCATCATTCAACTTGAATTTATTGAGAACCTTCTATGTGTCAGGCTCTGTGCCAGGCACTGGGTATGACAACGGCCAGTGAATTACACATGGTTCCCTGTACTCGCAGGACTGCAGAGGGAGACTATGTAATGGAAAGTGGCAGGGCCGTGTGTATGTCACCTGGACCAGGCAGGCAAACTCACAGTATTGGCAGGGAGTCAGCCATGTAAACTAGAATATGACGTGACTAGGGCTATCCTTGCCACCTGGTCAAAGTTGAGGGTGAGGGAGAGAAATACCCATTAGCCCCTCCTCTACAGAAGGTGACATTTAAATAGGCCTTAAGAGGGAGGAGGATGTCATTGATCTCAGAAAAGGGAGGGGCATTCCAGGAAAAGGGAACTGAGTGGACGGACACGGAGGGACAGAAGTGACTGGCTGCTCCAAAGAGATCAACCTCGTGAAACAAAGGGTGAGAGATGAGGTTGGAGGAGTCAGCAGGGCCCGGGGTGCAGGCCTGGGAAACCCTGTGGAGGATCCCTACTAGTCTTTCCGCCCATTCCACACCACTGACTTGAGTGCAGACTCTCCTGATAACCGATGCTGGGAGAGCACCAGATGCAAATCACCCCAAAGAGCGATGTCCCTCTGTTGGCTCAAGGAGGCAAGACGGTGCAGTCACAGGGACCAGGGCCTTTGAACTCAACGAAGACCGGCGTTTGAACTCCGTGCTCTACCCACAGGAAGCTGCGTGACCAGCCATTCTGAGCCTCAGTCTCCTTATCTGGGACGATGATGCTGGATGTTGAGAGCGTTAAATGAGGTGCTGATAAAGCCCTTAGCACCGTGCCTGGCACTCAGAAAGCCAGCTCAATAAATGGAACTCACTGTTATTCAGAGCTGCCACCAGCGTACAGGGGTAACAGGGTGAGGAAGCACGTCAGTAAGAAAGTCAGCGACTCTTCTCTGACCTTCTACAAAGCAGGTCACAGAAGGGACATCAGCTGCCTGCAAGGCAGGTGAGGGACACGGGGGCCAGGAGAGCTGGCACAGGCAGCAGAGGCATTTTGGTGTCCCTGCTAGGGAGGGCCCCTGGCTCACAGCTGCTCAGGAGC